ACAAATCATCAAAAAATATTTTAAAAAATAATTGGCTTAGCTGATAGAAAACTCCACTAAAATCAATTTGTTAAAATAAAAAAAAAATCAAGTTGAAAATCAACGGAAAATGAGCTGAAATATCTGGAGAATATATTTCTTTTTCTAAAACATTGATTACTTTTTAAAATATTTCAAGTGGTCACGTAGAAAATGCGCTTAATCGGCGGAAAAGCGGTACTGGCGTAGGTGCCTACAGGCCTCTGCCATATCATTGAGCACTCATAAATGGCTTAGTTATAGTGCTATGATAACGTTCTTGGTATTATTATATTGATTGTATTAACGTACAAATATTAATGCAATAATTTAATTATAATTCTTTTTTAAATATTCCCTCCGAGGCGTCTGAAAAGAAGGTGGCCTCGTGATCTTCTTGTGTAAATTTATTTTTTGAATGATATCAGTGGTCAGTTTCTTAACAAGCGATTTAATGTTATTGTATTCCTCAGTGGACATTTAATAGTTTTTTTTTTTTTTTTTATAATACAGTTGTAAATATCAATAAATAAATAAATGTTTTAATATTACGTCCTTCAGTCTACACGAAGGTCGTTTAAGGAGGCCTCTGTTGTGAAGGTGACATAATTTTAATATTAAAACTTAATTCAAAAATACTTCGCTGAATTTCTTGAATTTTTTCTTTCACTTACATATATATATAATACATAGTAAGGGAAAATGTTGCAATCGTAAATATTTTCGAATTTCATTTTTCAACGCAAATACACATTTTGAGGTACCTTGAGTCCAAATAACCAAGTCCCGAAAAATGGGCTGTGTGTGTGTATGTATATGAACCGTGCAGCTTAAAAACGAAAAGTCTTACGAAAGTCAAATTTCTTATTTAAAATTTGTATATACTTCTTCGTTCTTGGTATATTATAATGATTGTATTAACGTACAAATATTAATGCAATAATTTATTTGTAAAAAAAAAATTATTGTTTTGTTTTTTGTTTTAATATTACGTCCTTTGTTCTATACGAAGGTCGTTTAAGAAGGTCTCTATTGTAAAGATGATATGATTTTAATATTAAAACTTAATTCAAGTATACTTCGTTGCATTTCTTAAATTTTTTATTCAACGTTTGCAATTTAACTATTTGTTTTGATATATTTACGGATTCTTAAAGATAAGTTATATTGTATATACTTTCCCAGAAATCAGAAAGTATATACAATTCAGTCAGAAAGGAAAACATACAACGAGTTTTTATGAAAGGCAAGTATTTGCACGAAGTATGAGGCTCTAAGCAGATAAAGAGCTATTTCTGTTCATATTTCCTTGGAGATAGCAATTTGGATGACATTAAGAAGGCGATGCAGGTTTATGATGGTGAAGACTATTTTATTAGCAAGAAAGATTTGTTCGAAGCAATTGGCAAGTCAGCAGGTTTGGACGAAGTAACCCGAACTGCCTCGCATACATAGGCAACAAACGTGAAGATTTATTTCTTCACTTTTTTGCTTCCTCACTACCGAAGGTAGGAAAGCATTGTATTCGTGCGAGAGGTTAACAAAAATTTTGTGCTCTGAATCGTAAATTTCCACTCGCGTTTTACGATTCAGACATCAAGGATCAAATTTGGTTCGGTGTCTGTCTTTCCGTCTGTCTGAAGTCAAATCGATGTAACTGGTATATTCTCTACTGCCGTTAATTCAATTGTCATTAAATTTTTAGGATTGTGCGGGTTGGTGTCTAGATGGTCCCATATTAATTTTATTAAATTCTAACCAGCACTTCCGGTTACGCAAGCGCAAACGCGTTTTTGTAGATATGCCAGTATTACAGAAATGGCTCGTTCAATTTGGCTCAAAATTTGATAAAAGATAGGTATTTGTAAAAAAATAATGTTGGGTTAATTTTAATAAATTGTGTCCGTTTGTTTTCCCTTATATATACGCAAATGTGTTTTCCTTGATACGTCTATATCTCTAAAGCCGCAAGTTCGATTTGGCTCAAATTTTGAGGGAATTTGGAGAACAGTATAGAAATTACTAAGTATCAATTTCATTAAATTCCATTTAATAATTAAAATTGATACAAATAATAACTGTGAAATTATCATATGAAGTGGAAGTTAGGCTTTTACAATATTGTTGTGGAATTATAAAATTTTAGGTTTTATTAAAAATATTAATTGATACTGTATTGTTTTGTCGATTCTAAACGTTATGGCATAACAGTTACTACCGTTTCTTAGATTTCGTGTAATTTTCAGTAAATTTAAAGTAATTTTTACTCTGAGCTTGTAAAAAAACGTAAAAACGTGTTTCCTCCTTAAATATAAAATTTGTTTAAACTTCACCTATATTTTTATATTTTCTAGCTTAATGGGTTTTTTTCTGGCTGAAGAAACGTATTGTTCTCGTTAACCCCCAACAAACAAATTGAGTTTTTCCTATGGATTTTCATCTTTCATCTATTTTACGAGTGAATACATACCTGTTAAATATATATCATTACTATTAATGCAAAAGATTGTATGTAAATATTATAAACTTTTATTATATTTGTGCTAAAGGTGACATTTTGTAGTCTGCAACTGATATAAGTTGAGTTCCAGAGTTGAGCTGTGGGACTCCACTAAAACATCGAATTCTTCTTATAATCCTCACTGCTCCTTACTCTGTCACAAATAAAATCATCCATAACGACCTTAATGTTCAAGATTGGGCCCAATCCAGATAACTATCCTTCCATAATAAACTTCAGAACCATCCAAATTCTCTCGTCTCTAACCTTGCTTTCTCTTCGATCCCTGATAAACCTACGAGGCGTCTGAAGAGAAGATGGCCTCTAGACCTCCTTTTGTAAATACATTTTTAGAGTGCTACCAGTGGTTAGTTTCTCAACAAGTGGTTTCATGTTATTATATTCTTGTGTTCCAATTTACTGAATTTTTTGCTTCCTCACTACCGAAGGTAGGGAAGCATTGTGTTCGTGCGAGAAATTAAAAAAAATTTTTTGCTCAGAATCGAAAATTTTCACTCGCGTTTTACGTTTCAGACATCAAGGATCAAATTTGGTTCGGTGTCTGTCTGTCTGTCTGTCTGTCTGTCTGTCTGTCTGTCAGTCTGTCTGTCTGTCTGTCTGTAGTCAAATCGATGTGACGGGCATATCACCTAGTACCGTTCATCCAATCTTCATGATATTTTCAGGGATTATGCTGATCGGTACCTAGATGGTCCCATATCAATTTTATCAAATTCCACCCAGCACTTCCGCTTACGCACGCGCAAACGTATATTTTTAGATATGCCAATATTTCAGAAAGGGCTCGTTCGATTTGGCTCAAAGTTAGATAAAAGGTAGACTTTGGTGAAAAAATAATGTAGTGTCAATTTCATTGAATTGCGTCCAACACTTTCTCTTATATGTGCACTACTAGTCCGCCATCCGCCGTCCGCGCATTTTTTCTGAAACTACTAGACCGATTTTTTTCGAAGTTGGATATTAAATCAGAGGTCACCCGAGGATCATCCTCCTTCAACGACATTACTATTCGCCTTCTAGTTTCAAAATGACGGCCGAAAAACCTGCGTTGCTATAGACTGTAGCGCCTAAACGAATGAACCGATTTTGATGAAACTTCGCTAAAGTCATTTTCTCTACGCCCTCTAAATTTATCTATACTACATACTTCAACGAAAAGAAGCTCAAAAAAAGTTACGAGGGATGATAAAATTAAATTCCGAATAACTCAAGAAGTATACGCAGTTATGTCAATATTGTATATGGGTTTTTAGAAGTTTACGGAATTTCTTAAAAAAAAAAAAAAAAATCGTCAAAATCGGACAATTAGGAGCAAAGATATCGTCTCTAGTTTTTTTAGATGTTCTATTGCAAAAGGTTTATCTTTTTTTTGATTTCTGAATGTGTTACTGAAGTAATGCTATTTTTTTTTATCATATTTTTAATGATTAAAAATGATTTTAGTCCAATAATTAGAATCACCTTTTATTTATTTTTCTTTATAACTAGGAATTTAATGTTACTTTATATGTATAATTGTTTGGAAATAATATACCAAAGAGAAATAATTTGCAGTGGTTTTTTTCAAATTGATTATCGTTATATATATATATATATTTAAATCTTTCGTGCTGAAGCCCCTCCTCCAAAATTAAATCTTGATTCGATAATGTATATACTATTATTAGAGCATAAGTTCGTATGTAATAATTTTCAACTTTAATTCTATGTGTATTAAAGGTGATATTTTGTAGTCTGCAACTGATATAAGTAGTCTGCTACTATGGAAAATAGCAGATGAAAATAAAATATGAAATTATTCTAATAAAGCATAAAGAAATATTGAATTTTTATGCACTCTTGTAAAACAATAAATAAATTTATACATAAGACCTTTTGAACTAACAGTATTGAATTTCATGTTCAGAATGCATTTTTTTTTTTTTATTAAGCATAATCAAGTATGGAATATTCAAATACGACCCTCTGTTGTTGAATGTTGAAGGGTAACTGTAATCAGCTATTCCGATTCTGCTTCTCTCAGAGATTTTATTCTCATTCGAAAAATTGTATACTTTGTAATATACAACGGAAACGGTGAGGAAGCTATACTGACCTTACTTGGCAGACGTTTTTATTTGTAATACAGTTCTAAATAAAAAAAAAAATGATAGTTTAGCACAAAATGGATGAAATGCTGGAAAATTTTCCTCGCTCACAATATCCAGTTCCGATCTTCAGTTTCTGAGATATTTTAATCCCAATGCTAGAACACTTCAATCAGTCGACTGGAGCCGACTTTACCCGAAAGAACTATAAGGATCACGACAGTAAAGGATAGATAGATCTAAGAAGACTATATATATATATATATATATATATATATATATATATATATATATATAATATATATATATATATATATATATATATATATATATATATATATATTGATGTACCGACCTGGTAGAGGATGAACCACCTGAGCTGCCACTTGTTGGAGTCGGCGGTCCTCTTGTGGAGCGACCCCTGGTAGGAGTTGTCGAACTTGGCCCGGTCCGAGAGCATCAGCAGCTGGGCCTCGTTCACCCGCACGGTCCGCTGCATCTTCGGGCTCAGCATGGCTGCCCCGGCTTCTACACATCAAGCAGGTAATATATTAATATAATAATAAATAATACATATATATATATATATATTAATATAATATAATATATTACTATAATATAAATAAATAATATATTACTATAATATAATATATTACTGTAATATAAACAGTACATTAAAGTATACTAGTGTTTGACCATAATAATATATTAGATAGATAGATAGAAAGTAAACTTTATTCTGGGACAAGGTCCCTTATGAATAACAGATATGGAAAAAAAAAAATAAAAACTACATCTGGCCAAAAATTACATTAGTCAATAATTGGTAATTGGTTGACTGTCGTGGAAAATGAAGAGAAGAATAGTTGGGGTGGTCAGTCAAAAAGGAAGGCAAAAATAAATGATAATATTTATTTTTACATATGCCGACGTTTCTACCTGAAGTTCAGGCCTTCATCATGGCTAAGAAAATAACCAGATAACAAGGTATGAGAAACATAAGTAATGATGGTAAAAAAGATAATAAACAATAAAAAAAAATTAGAAAAATAAAATAGATAAATATAAAGCAAAATGAAATTGTTAGAATAATGACTAAGAACTAAGAGATAAATAATAAAAACCGTTACAAAGTGTGGAATGATGAAGTAGGCATAATCAAAAAGGGTGACAAAAGTGTTACAATGGGAATCTTAGAATAAAATGTAAAACATAAAAAAGAAATATGAAGTTATATAAGAAATGAAAATAAATAGTAAAATTAAAACATTGAGAATGGACTAGTTAGATAGAAAATTGAGACATTGTAAAGTCTATCAAGATGTACAGATTAACTCTTTATTATATTATACATTTATAATATAATAAAGAGTTAAAAACAGAGAAAAGGAATGAAAGGAAGGAGGGAAGAAATTAAGAAAGCTGAAATAAGAAAGAAATAAAAGAAGTACTACCTGTCTCCTTAAGTGTCGCAGGGAGAATAAAAGTCTTTACAAGGGAGAGGGAGAGAGGAGAGATGTGTATTATATTATCATTTATTTTTGCCTTCCTTTTTGACTGAACACCCCAACTATTCTTCTCTACATTAGTCAATGTTAAAGAATATATAGTATCTTCAGTAAAATTAAATCAAAACAAGTAAAAATAACACCATTTTGAAAAGAAAAACATTATTTAAATGAAAAGAGAACAAAAAAGAAATAAACATGGGTTGATTTTTAAAATTAAAAACTCTATCAATTTTTACAACCATTCACCTCAGTCAAAATCTGTTTCGCAATATTTATTTTATTGTATAACGTCATTTTGGAATGTGAGAAGGAATTGGTAAAGATGATATTTAAATGAGGACAAGGAAGAGGCGGATTTCAGAAGGCAGTGGATCGGGCTATAAAGGAATATTCAAACGTCTTAGTTCTATGGGAAAGGATATAAAGGTCGGAAACACGGGATCTTGTTTTCTGGGAGCGGACCACGGGTTTTAACTGTAGGAGACTGTAGATATAGGAAGGGTGTCGGGTGTTGATCGTTTGGAATAGGAAAGATCCAAGGAAATATTGTATGCGGAAAGAAGGGAAGAGCCACTTTAACACAGATATTCATGAGTCGCTTAAATCTATCATCGAGTACCATCGGGATGCCTCCGTACACCACATAGCCGTAGTCAAAGTGGGGGAAAATAAGGGAGGATACAAAGAGCTAACGGATGGGTTGTGGGAGTTGGTGACGGGAGCGATGAAATAGCTTAAGGGTACCTATTTACTCACGGGAGATGAGGGCGATATGGGGTTTCCAGGAGAGGTTTTCGTCTATGGTGATTCCTAGGTTTTTAACGGAGGAGCTGAATGTGATGGGATGATCGTTGATGACTAAAGGAGGAAGGAAGGACATGGATTTAAGAAGAGAACTGGAACCTATAATAATGGCCTGAGTTTTCGTCGCGTTTAGATTTAAATTATTATTACATAAATTAAATTATTACTATAATATAACAGTATATTAAAGTATAACAGTGTTTCACCACAATTATTAATAATGAAGAGAAGGATGGTTGGGGTGATCAGTCATACATAAGAAAGCAAAAAAAAAAAATAATAATATTTATTTTAACGTCTGCCGACGTTTCGACCTGAAGTTCAGGCCTTCATCAGGACTAAGAAAAGAACCAGATAACAAAGTATGGCAAACATGAATAATGTAGGTAAAAAAAATCAAAGTAAAATGAAGTTGGTAGAATAATGACAATAGTAAGAACTAAGAGATAAATAATAATATCCGTTACAAAGTGTGAAATGATGAAGTAAACATAATCAAAACAAGGTGACATAAGTACTAAATTGGTAATCTTAGAATAAAATGTAAAACAGAGAAAAGGAATATGACGTAGTAGACATCCCCCTGTATTTACACCATTAGTTGACAATGTGTGAGGGAATGAGAAGCTATATATAATATATAGGAATGTGAGGTAGCACTGTGAATTGTACTCAATTGTGCAGTGGACAAATTGCTCATTGGAAAATCTCACATCGATAAAGGATCGAAAAGAAGAAAAGATCCGATCAGGTAGCTGGCAACAGATGGCGAGGACGACGCCAAACACTTGAGGCCTGGACACCAACACAAGAAGACGTCATCTGGGAAGAGAGGTTTACTACATTGAAGACCAAGATTATCAAGCCGACCGTTCACTTATATATATTAATTTATGATCAATTATCAAAATAAATTGTTTTATTATACCGGAGTGAATAGTCCTTTTATTTAGTTGTCCTATAGGCCTCACGATTGAAGAATAAACCAGGTGAGTCAATTCATTCAAAGTGTTTACTAAGTCCCACATTATATATATATATATATATATATATATATGTTCTTATTATTTCTTCTCGCACAGTGTCATAAAAGGTATTAGATTCCCAACAACAGTTAAACACCCTCAAAAAGTCGAAATCCAGTGCCGGGGTTTTGTTTTAATAATTCACGAGTGTAAATAACCCTAAACCCCGATATAAAAGCGGAAGGCTATGCCCCTATTCCCGCCAAAACAAATCATTTAAAATTAACTTTCTGTAGGTTATTTACAATGAAGTTATATAAGAAATTAAAATAAATAGTGAAATACTTTTTTCTTTCTTATTTCAGCCTTCTCGGGTTTTTTTTTCCTCCTTCCTTTTCTGTTTTAACTCTTTATTATATTACACGTTGTGAGTACATTTTGATAGACTTTACAATATCTCAATTTCCTATAAAACTATTCTATTTGTAATATCTTAATTTTACTATATTTACATGACTAACTTTCATTGTGCATTTCATTACGTTTTATCGGTAACAATACAATCTCTACAAATTTCGCTGTAACTTAAAGTTCTTTACATACGAATTTTCTGGATTTTAGGTTACAAATTTTTTTACAAAATACCATACAGAAGAATTGAAACATCGTAGATTTCATTTTGTGGGATCAGAATATGCGCCAATACTAGATTGACCAGAAAAACTTAAAACCTCATTATTCAAAGAAATTGTCCTTACAGGTTTTTACAGTGTAGCTGTCTATATTCTAATAACGTATAACAACTTTAGCCACAATAGTAAATTTAAATAGTTGAATATTAAATATCAGAGCAAAAAAAAAGAATTATTTAATTAGGTTAAAAAGTAGACGTTGTGTGATGTGTCGCATTTCTTTATCCATGGGTAGGTCTAGGTCATCGAGTGATAAATTTCCAACACTTTTTCATCTTTATCAGTTGTTTATGGGACTTAATCTCTACATGTTTAGACACAATATAGCTAACAAGAATGCCGTACTCTCCTTTGATGTTTATGTTTATGCATATATATTATACAACATATCATCATTATATTTTATTCAACACACACCATCAGTGAAGCTTCATACATTACCATTTCAGTTTTATTTATTACCTTCGTTTCTAATACGCTTCTGTATATATATATATATATATATATATATATATATATATATATATATATATATATATATATATATATATATATATATATATACATAAATACATAATATGTATATATTGTATATATTTCTTTGAATTGTATTTTATTTTTTACTTTTTGTATTTTAGCTGCCATATTCTACTTCTGTAACCCTATTACTCATCTGCTTTCGTTAATGTAACCTAAGAGCTATATATTACTGTCAGTTATTTTATTAATTACCAATACGCTTTCGATGTAACAGTAACATTTTCGTCAGAATAGGCAAACTGGAAGTGGTACTTTATATAATCGATTTGACACATTTTTACAATTTTCTCAAAAACGGCTCTAAAGATTTTGATTAAACTCAGTATATCAGTGTATAATGAAGCAGTTTTTAATATTATGTAGATTTTATTCTCATTGATGTTCTCTATCAGGGCTTAAATGGCTAATTTTCAATATTGGCTTTCTTTAAAGTACCTTTTTTTTTATTTCAAATTATTAACCATTTCACATTAATCTTCGATTAAAAAATTAGTTAAATATAAAATATAAAAAAAAAAATGATAATTAACTAAAGGAGAAATAAGAGATCGTAACGGATATTAGTAGTTCACCCGAAAGATTACATCAGGCTTCCATACGTAACATGAACTACGTAACATGTAATACAGAATCTGAAAAAATTATGTTCATATGCATATGAGATTTTCATAAATGTTATCGTTGGTATTATTTAATATTTATTTGTACAGATCACAGCGATATAAAAATTAAAATTTGTATATATAACGGTATTTAAATAAACAAAAATACCCACAATAAATTGTAAATAAATATAGCGTCAACTTTAACTTCCCCTTTGTCTGAAAATACTTATTTCTGATAAGAACAGGGTGCTAAGTAAAAGTCGTGTGATGTGAGCACTAGATTTTTTTATACAATTTGATGTGAATCTCATGTTTTTACCAAATAAACCTCAACTCAATTAATAGGATTTCAAGCCCATTTAACGAGGAAGTTTGTTTCCAAAATTGAGGTATCTGTAGTGATTAGTTTTAGCAATGGC